TTTACCTTGTTAAACTTTATACAAATGTCTTACCTTTTTACCTCAATTTAAATTCTAGATTCTAAAACTTGTAAATAGAACAACATTTATTTTTTGTAAATCAGTGTTGAAAATCCCTATTTATGGAACACAATAAAGTATGTATGTATGTATGTATGTAAGTCTACCGCGCATGCGCCACACGATGGTAACTACTAAAGATTAACTTCAATGGTAGTTATCTTCTCCAAACATTTGCCCGGCCGCCATTTTCGTTTGTATTCTTCTTCTTTCGTCCGTCATCTTTTTTCTTTATTATTCTTTCATTCGTCCTCGAACCGATCCTGATACACGACATTGGCTTTTACAGTCCGATATCGCTACCACTAGACCACTTGCTCCTTGTTGGAAGCTAACCGTGTTGGAAGCCTACGGCAACTTATTCATCTTAACCTTTTTTTCTCTAGCTTGTGTATTAATATTCGACACATTTCAAGTCACAAAATAACTTTTGTAGGACTTGAACCACAATGGTACATTACACAGAGTGTAGACTTTACCACTAGATCACTTGCTCGTTGTTCGAAGCCTATACTGCAACTTAGTCATCTTATTTCTTGTCTAGCTTGTATAGCTTGTCACAAAATGACTTCTGTGGGACTTGAACCACAATGGTACATTACACAGCCTGTAGCCTTTACCCACAAGACCACTAGTTCGTTGTTGGACGTCTAACGCAACTTATTCACCTTATTTTTTTCTCTAGCTTGTATAATTAAAATTCAACTATGTTCAAATCACAAGGTTTCTGTAGGACTTGTACCACAGGTGGCACATTACACAGCCTGTCGACTTTACCACTATAGTCAACACGCTCGTTGTTAAAACCCAACAACAAACTTATTAATAATATAAAATAAGGGCAACCATTACCTTTGCTTTTTAACCACTTTTCTAAGAGTAAAAAAATTGCCAAAAAGTCAGGGGATTACCTAGACTATCTTGGCTGTTGCTAGGAGAATATATATTTTCTGTTTTGCTTAACCTTTGTTTTCACTGGATCATTTAAAATAAATAACCACCTCACATAACCTTTCTCAAATTCATTAATAATTCATGATAATTAAACCAATAGCATGTAATCATTCTGTCACAAGATGCTGTTTGGATACCGCGGTCAAACACCGTTAAACACAGCACCACAAGAGTTTAGCTGCATACGTAATTTAATAAGATATTTGATGAAAGTCACTAGTGTTTTCATCAAATATCTTAATTACGCATGCAAAATTACTTGAATAGAATTCCTAATTACGTTATGCTTGGTTAAGAATTCTATTCAAATCAGCAAACGAAAACATTCTGTTCACGGTTACGTCTCGATTCATTTGAGAAGCCATATAAACATCTCGAGCTCGTGTCTCACCGGGATATCCGAACACTCGAAAACAATGTATGAAAACAGTCGCGCTCGTGTTTTCATACATTGTTTTCTCGTGTTTGGATATCCCGGTGAAACACTCGCTCTCGTTGTTCATATATTACTTCAAAAACTAAACTTTCTTTATCGTCAGAAGGGATTGATCCATTGTTTCCATCCATAAGGGACCACTCGTTATTTATTGCACGAGGGGGGGGGAATTACTGTTATTATATTTTCAAGTGGAATTTTCAAAGCCCCCCCCAACAGGCAAAACAAGGACATAAATTTCGGAGCCCCCCCCCCCCACTCTAGCTTTTTATTTAGAGAAACAAAAATAGATAATGGAGACAATTTACATGAACATAAGAGACTATTTACTTGGCTTCCATTTATGAATATTTTAAATATTAAAGGTCAATAACCTATACTTATTTGTTGTTAAGTTGTTTTGTGATGCATTTTTAAAACTACTAATGTTTTTTCAAACTACAATCTTGGACATAACTGGTTGAGACTATTTTCCCTCTATAGAAAATTCGCATATTTTTACGGATAAACTCCATGTTGAATCACGTTGCCCTTCGGTATATTACCAAAAGTGGTTTCGGCATTGTTCACGACATTGAACTGGG